AAAAAGCTTTTCCTTCACAGTTGTTCTAGTATTTCAGTGTTGGTAGAATGAAATACATCCAAACAAGTCACAGGTAGAAACACATTAATGCTTTTCTCAATACATTGGATTTTTTTCTTTTAAATAATGGTTTGGTTTTGGGATTTTTTTATTTTTTTTTTTGTCAAGTACAGTTGATACCACAGTTCAGAGTAGACACATACCTCTCTTGATACATCCACAGATCTTTAGTCACACTTTCCTTTTTTGTTTTTCTAATTGGCTGAACACTAGCTTAGTTTGGAATCATGTTGCTTGTACAGACCTCGAAACAAGTTTCAGAAGTGGCCAAGTATAACATTTTATTCTAATGTAATGCTTGTTTGAGAACTTTGCTGCTGTTGTCTTAAAAATGTGAAGGCAAATATCTTTGACTAGTCATATGAATTTGAATGTATAATTGTACCTACACTGTCATTTTATCCACATTCTTTGGTGTTTTTCTTACCATCCCTAATATGAGGACTGTTTTGTAGTAAGCTAAGACTTACTACAAAATAAGACCTAAGCTAGCCTTCTTGATGTTTTGTCTAAAAATGCCTTACATTTCTCTTAAAGAGACTTGAAAATTTTCAAACAAGTTTTTTTGGAACAGCTTCTTTATGTCGCAGGCTCTTAAAATAACTTCCTCTTCTATTGTACATGTGTTTTGTCTTGTATTATGTACAATAACAGCATCCCATTCATTTAAAAGGGATAATGTCTGTGATCAGAAGCCCTTTCCTAACACATTCTAACGCTGATTTAGGAACTGATTCAACCCTTCCAAGACTTCTGTTAGTCAAAATTAATTTGTAACTACGAGTGAAATACCAGTGTCAAAATGGAACTACTTCATGGAAAAACCCTAGAGAAGACTAAGAGATCAAAGACACAATTAAGTAATCCTGTGTCAGTTTCTTTCTGGGCATGAGAAGGGCTTGGACATGCTGCAGATTGGGAAGGTCTGGTTGAACTTCCACACAAAAAGACAAATCTCTGGGAATGGCTATTAACCCTTTGGAGCCAGGTATAAAACCTGAAATAGAAAGCAAAGTAGTTGAAGCTATTAGTTTCTCCCTTTCTCAGCTGTGCATTCTGGGTTAAATACGGTTCTTGTGATGTCTTTAAACACACACTTGTTCTTTATTATTTGCTAGAAATCACCCTCTTGGTTTGATATGTACCCTCTGGTGCCTTTGTACTGTGTGAGCAGTACCCATTAAAGTTGGGGCTGGTTTTGTTGCCAGATGAGTACTGCGAAGCAATTCCTGTTACAGTCTCCCTCAGTAATGTGCACTCCTTGGAAAAGGTGAATTTCAGGAGAGTTTCTGCTTCTTGTCTGGCTTGTCATCTGCTGATCCCCTACTGTGCTCTTTGTTTGCCCTTTCTGGAAAGGGCAGCAGCAGCTACCATCTGCCTATGGCTTGAAATGGTTTGCATGCTGCTGTTTGGTACATGTCAATGCTTTGTGGCAGTGCTTACTGCAGGTGGAAAGCTGTTTTCTTGATGGATGCCTCTCTTTGTGGAGTACCATCAGTCACGGAATTTTTTGAACTTCATCTTTGTTTAGCTTCAATAGTAATATAAATACATTGTTTTATGAAAGGGCATAGTGCTAAATGGATGATTTTTGTTCATAACCGTAGCTTCTGAAATATGCTTATGTGCATATTTATGCTTATGCTTGTTTTACTACCTAGGCTTGTTTTAAAAAGTGAGTTCATTTCTTTTATGATTTCTTTTGTATTTAATAATATGTAGTCTATATCTACTCTTACTTTGATATTATCTATTATTATTAATAATGTGTGAACACAAACATTTGGTAGCATTAATGAGGAAGTATAGTTTAATTGTCGCGTAAATAGTATTTCCTAACAAAATGAAGAACTGTCTTCAGCAAAGGAAAACATCTCTTGTTCTTTGTTCAAAGAAATCCTTGAAGTGGTTATTTCCACATACAATTGCAGACTTCCTTAATTTCCAGGAATCCTAAATCATGTTGATGGAAGAAATTGTTTGGTTTGTGTTTTGCTTGTTTATAATTATTCTTTAGTGCTTAATGTCACTGCTGAGTAAATTAAAAATCCTTATTGCCTAGTCTTAAAGCCTAAAGTCTGATCCTGACTTACACTGCGGCCTTTTTATGTTTCAGTGCAAAGAGTTCTCCTTTTCTTACTATCTTTTCTTGAACTATTTATAAAAAATACCTTATAATATTAATAAATATTTGTTATTATTTTTTGAAAGTCATTACTGTTCTTGGTGGGGTTTTTTTTTTGTTTGGTTTGGCTTAGTTTGGGTTTTTTTTCTACTAATGGCAAAGTTGCCTCTCTCACTTTGTAATACAAGAGACCAGGGCCTACCCTGGTGGTCTAAGCCCCATTGTTTCAGGCACACTGTAAATCTGTAGCTAAACTTTTTTGATTTCTTTCCCGAAGATCTGACTGCTTTCTTGAGAACGTTATGAGTACTTCCAAGAACAGAGTTGATGCATACTGTCCCGTGTGAAAGAAGTGACTGGATTACATAAATTGATACTCCTAGTCTGCCAAGGAGCGAATACCTCCTCTCATTCCTGCTGTCATGTCTATACAGCCTTCACTGGCTGGCAGCAGAGGAGGCTGAAGTTTGGCTCTTGTAGGTCCTAGAAGCATGCTGTGTGTGCATTAATATTTCTATTAAAAAATACCTGACAAAACATTTTTGAGAGAAAGTTAAATGTACTTCATCTTTGCATACACAGTAAGTAATATGTAAAGTATGAGTTATTTAAATTCCAGTATGTTTCTAGCTTATGGATTTTTAGTTTTTTTGGATTTTTTAGTTTTTAGTGGTTGTTAAAAAAATAGAGAATAAAAAATCGCAAACTCAAAACAACCTCCCCTCCCCAGAGTTCTAAGAAAGCATACCCAGTTTTCCTCTGACATTCCAAACATTCCATTCAGTGTACCAGTATGTATAGTATTGAAGAGCTGTTCAGACAGAAGCTGCCTTTTTTTTCTTCTTTTTAGAAGAAGATATACTATAGGGACCTATGATAATCTTATTCAATGTCTTGTAAAAAAGAAATATCTGCATGCCTTGATGGCAAATGGTGATGTTAGGGGTTTCTTCCTTAACGTGTTGAAGTCTCGAGCAGTGCTGCTGTGTAGCAGAAACTTGGCACTTGGTGCTTTTTGGCAATTGGTTTCTGCTGTTAACTGAAGTAGAAATGCTTTTGTAGGTAGATCTGTGTGCACAGTAACTTTTACTAGGGTAACTAAGGTAAGTACTTAACTTTGCTGTAACAATTTTTGGAACAGGATACCACATTTAGGTCAGTTACTTCTATCCCAAAACCTCTTTTACCTTTTTATTTCTCATGGTGCAAGTGACTAACGCTGTCCCCCAAACAATTCCCCTCTGTTGCTTCTCAGAGAAGCACTGCTTTCCATGTTCCTTGGCTTGCCTGGCAGAGGCAAGGCTGACAATCAACACATACCCCTCTCTAGAAATTGTTTTGCTCTGATTCAGCTTTCAGTTAAGCTACTGGTAAATACCTTCAGGGCTTAACAACTTGATTGAATCAGTAATCTAAGCTACAAACCTAATCAGTTAGGCAAAGTATGTGTTGTGCTTTCCTTTTGTTTTTTCATAAAGTTTTTTCATACACTTTTACGTAAAGTGTAATCTTTATGGTCTATGGCAGGGTGTATATGTACTAGCCAGACTCCCTGTCAGAGGTGTGAAGTACTGCCCTGTGAGCTTTGCAGATTTTTCTTCTTGTTTTTTTTCTTTTCAAGCCTGATGTAGGTTTATATGACTAATATTCTTGACCTGACTAGGTGGTGGAGTTGTCATCAGTCTGTCACTTTGATGTTATCACTGAGAAATTAAAATAGAAATGTAATGTAAAGAACTTTATTGAAAAAGAGGTGCCAACTTAATTTTGAAACTTATCCCTCTGGATAAATTTAAGATAAATTTAGCTTTTGTCAGGAAGACTGATATTTTTTCATTTTTTTTCTTTTTTTTTTTTTTTTTTTTTTTTTTTTTTTTTTTTTAGTATTTCATGTTGTTCTAAGTTTAACTGTTAAATACAAAATTTTAATAGACATAGTAAGATCTATATGTATAAATAAGGGGGAAGTTGAGTTGTAAAAATAAAGGATCGCTATTGACTCCCTGTATCTGAAACATTCATCATTAGACAGCACCTGGGCTTAAGGTTTTCCATTATGAAATTTAATTGCAAAAGATAGGATGAACAAAGAAATCATACCAATCTGTCTGATAATAATAATAATAATAATTCTTTCTTTGTTATTGGTGTGAGAATTAATTCCAAAATATAATTGCCAAATTTTCTTTAAAACTGCCTTCCTTAAATTTGGGAACAGAGTACCATGGTAGGATGGCAGGTTGAGACAGACTGCAGCAAGTTAGAAATCATTTGGATTTTTGTTTTCAACAAAAATGAATTCAAATATATAAAAAGAATTTAATATCTCAATTCTGTTCCATAATAAATAATGTTAATTTTTGAGAGTCTTTCCTTTACACTTGAAGATGTTTAATAATTAAAATTCTTTTATGTATTATGCACCAATGGACTTAATGTACTGCTGGTGTTTCTCTGGGACAAAATAAGCTAAGTAAAGGCAAAAGGTGAGACATTTCAAATCCCTAGCTCAGTCTAGCTCTAAGAATAATATTAAAGTATGGCTAGTTAGGAATGTCTTGTCTTCTATTTAGACCTCAGACACATTTTTAGACTGTTGGTTATTCTTCCTCTGATGTTTATGGAAGCAGTTTGATTTTAATGGAAATCTGAATTCATTTGAAATGAAATTTGGTTAGCAGGGAAATGCACTCTATTTTCAAAATATTTCTCTTTGTTGAACTAATTTCTAAAATTTAAGTCAATGTAATGAATGTATTGTATGTGGAACATAATCAAGGAAAACAGTTTATAATGTCTTCCATATTTCTTACAGGTTGTGAAGATGAGAAAAGATGTGAAGAAGGCCAGAGTCCTCACTATTCGCAGACTAACCAGACACATCGGGAAATTAAAATCGAAAAAGTCAGTTTTAAATAATAGTGGGTTTTTTTGTGGTTTATAAATAAGGCACTATTTTAATTGTTTTCACAGAAACAGAAGAATGGGAGAAGAATGTACTAAATTTAAAACTTAAGGCACTAAAACACATTTGTCTTATTTTAACATAATCTTAGACTAAAAATACTAACTAAAAGGAGTTTCATAAAGCAGAATTGAGATGACTTTTAATTGGATTTAGTGTATTGGAAGGTAATCTGAATCAGTTACAGAACCTTTTACAGCACATCTGAAAGTGTCAGATTTCATTTTTTAGATTATTCTGCTGTTGAATTTAAGTTGCACCAAGTTTTCTCACAGTAGTTATCTTCAGGAGTATGTATCAAAAAATACTTCATTTGCATAGATATACAGGTCATACTTGATTTTTAGTAATTACTATTAATTCTTATATTAACTGCTTAAACAATATATTGTAGATTTTGTTTTTAAGATTACTGGCCTGAAGTAACTTAGTACGTGTCTTAGAGATGGTGTGAGATACATCTCACACTGTGTTCATGGTGTAAATTGAGGATACTCTCACAATTTTAGCAAGTTGTCCAAACTAAGAAGCAAATCCACTGAACTTCCATATTTAGGTACTACAGGTCTTAAAATAGAATTCTGTTTGAGACACTGGTGTCACCTGTTCTTGATATGAATTGTGGTTTTGTATTTTCTGATGCAGTAACATTTGTTTTCACATTGTTCTGCTAAATCCTCAGCGTTTCCTCTGCTGTTCAGTTCAGCAAAAGCTTTAGGCTATATTCAGCTCTTTGCTAAAATGTTAATTTGCCAATAAGGGATTGTGTATATGCACCCTCTCCTGATTTTTTTTATTTTGCTACTTAGTATTGCCAGAGAGGAAATAAAATAACTAAACTGAGATTTCTTTAATGACAATAGACTTCACTTGCAGGGGTTCAGAAGACTTGAAATTAAAGAACCAAAAACGAGTTGAGAGATTAATAGAAGAAATCCATGCCATGAAGGTAATGCCATGTTTAGATAATTCAATATTAGAGACAACTATTTTAAATTGTCTGTTTTGCGACTGCCTTACTGAAACTGTTAAGTATTTTCAGAGTAAGCTTGAACATTAACACAGCTAACAAATTGTGAGTATTTGCGTTTGTCAAGGTGTTAAACAATTTGAGTCTTAAGCATTCCAGACTAAACATGAATTTGCTTAGCAGTGTGTGTTGGTGTGTGGTGTTTGAAGTTTTTACTGCAACAGTTAAAGCACAGAATTTGAAATTCTTGTGCCGCTCAGGAGTATGGGAAGGCATTTTGTGTGTCTGACAGTACAGTATCCTCATTGTCTGTCCTGCAAGCTCTAAATATCATGCCATTTGTATTTGGTTCTGTAATAATTTCAAATTTTAGCTGGAAGGGACTGGTTACACTTGAGTCAGATCTTTTTTTAGTGTTTAGCCTTGCTGTTAATTGATACAGTGTTTGTATCTTATATGTTATCACATCAAGAAAATGCTTCAGAAATTTTCTAACTTCATAATGATTTGTGCTAATCTCTCAGTCTTAGTTGATACTACATAAAATTATGTATGGTGAAATGAGTTATGAATTCCAATCATAGGACTTGAACACAAGTCATGTATAGGTCGTGACAGATGTTTTCTCACAATATGGCTGTTTTGATTGTTTCCTTGATAAGTGTATTTGATAACTGTAGTAATTATATCATTATGCTACTATTGTGTGCTATTCTGGGAGCGCACAATATTTTTGTTTGTTTTTAGCATTTCTCTTTCTTTTGTCAACCTTGCACAGATTGTAGTCTTCAAAAAAGGCTAATAACAGGAAATGCTTCATTGACCAATTTACATGTGCTTTGTGCCAAACTGATGAAGTAGAATCAGAGGGGTTTTTAGCTTAATACTTAAGAGTCTTCATAAACCAGCAAAAGGGAAAAGGAAATGGGCAGCACTGCTCAATCACCATGACAGTAATATTGAAGCACTCTGCATTACGGACTTGCCATCAGTCTTAAATTTGGTCTTGTATTTGCTCTTTTTCTTCTCTCTCCTTTTTTTTAATTTTAATTTTAATTTTTTTAATTGTTTTTTAATGCTGAGTATGTGTGTCTCCGTTTCTAAGAGAATAATGAAGTGATCAGGTGTGCTGGACCACTGAGCTCAGAAACCCATGGTTTTTTTGTGGGGCTTTTGTGAATGTTCTTGAGAGGGTTTCACTGCAAGATTTGTTCTGCACGCATTTACCAGGAATCTTTCTTTTGTCCACATTGTGCTTTTCCTGCCAGGATCGGTTCATGCAGAGAACTTAAAGCCTGCACTCAGGACTGTATTGGCCAAGTACATTCAAGTGTTGCTTCAGTTGGCATGAACATGTACAGGGCTTGTAAATGATAGCTTTAAGAGTGGCTGTCAGGGGAGGATAGATTTGTAGTCTAGAAAGCTGAAGGCAAATTTTGCTCTGCAATAGTTTGTAGAAAGGGAGGAGTCTTCAAAGTAAGCAGTTGAGAAGGAAGAAGTCTCCTGCTTCTTGGGTAGATAGCTAGTAAATGCATTTAGTTATTTGAAATTTTAAGTGCTGTAAGTTGACTTTATTGTTAAAAACAATGCACTGTTATAGTAATATTTAATAGGAAAAAGGTTTGTTTACTTGGAGATTTTTTGTGCAAAAATGCACAAGTTGACACTTACTAGCTCTACAGTACATTTGTTTCTTAAATGAAAGAAAAACTCCCGTTTCTTAAAAATCGCTTCCTAAAAGACACTAGTTATTTATGTATTTTTCCAACCACTGTTGATTTCTGTACTAACAGAGATTTTTAGAGTTGACATTGAAATATTCCTCATTCAGCATGGAAGAAGTAAAAAAGACAGCTTTCACACCAACTGATAACGTTCTTTCAGGTGACTTGAACATTTTATATTGGCGAAATCTCAATCCCAGCAACCTTTTGTCTTAAGTTATGGATCATAAGATTAATAAAAAACACCTTCACATAACTAATTCAGAATTGGAGAATTTTAAGGAAAGATTGGACACAATAGAAACAGAGAGTGATCTATAAAGTTGCAGTTTAGAGCAACTAAGGTTTGAGTTATTCTAGTTTATTTTAACAGTTTTAGTATGTGGATCTCAAACACATGCCAGAGGAAATTCAAAATCCTTTCAAAATTGATGGATTGCATGGTGGATATAGTAATTTTTCATGTTCTGTTAACATCAAGAAGTTGTCCATTAATTTCTCATTATGTGTTTTATGTAAGAAAAAATGCCTCTTCTCTCTTGGTGAATGATTAATCTTGAGGAGCTGCAAACTACAAAGATCAGTTCAATGGAAAAGACAAAAAATCCAACAAAATAATTACAGCAGCCAGAGTGGTTTGGAGCCAGAAAATGGATGTTGCACCAGAGTCTGATAGTATGTGTATTTTCAGGATAAAAGATTTATTGAATTGGTAACTTACAACTTCTGGAAATTCTTTATTGGTTGAAGGCCTGAAGGCTTTCTGTAAGTTGAAGAAAATAGCGCAGTTTTTTTCCAAGTTCTTCCCAGTAGCCAAAGTTGTGGTTTGACACTGGTTAAGCACCAGGCACCCACGAGAAAAAACTATTCAGTCATATTCCTTTGGTACAGCTTAGCAGAGGAGGCAGAAAGAAAGACTCAAGGGCTCATGGGCTGAGATAAGGATTAGGACAAAACATTCCAAGGGCAAAACAGGTTCAAAACTTTAAAAGGTATAAAGAAAAATTTGTTAACAGAATTAAAAGAGGATAATAATGAAACCTTGAGAACACTTGACTTCCTCCAGCCTCTCCTTCTTTCTCACTGACAGTACAGGGAGACAGGGCATGGGAGTTTTTGGACAGTTTTTCACTCAAAATCTTTCTTTGGTTTTCTCAGGGAGAGGAGTCTCTTCTGCTATGCCATGGGGTCCTTCCTACAGGAGACAGTTCTCTGCAAACTTTTCCAGGGTGGTTCTAATTTTCACAAGTAGCGGTCCCGCCCAACCTGCTGTAACATGAGTCCCTCTCCTGGGCAAAATAGTTTTTCCTAACTACATGGTATGGGTCATATTCATTCATGAGGTATATGTAAGTCTTTTAAGGATAAGCTGCTCTAGTTTGGAAGCAAGGTTCCTCTATCTCTGGAATCACGGGTCTGCTCTCTCTGTTTGGGTTTCCTACTAGACTACAGCTTTTCAGCATGCAGCTGCTCCAGCGTGAGCACCTTTTCTCACAGCCTGCGAATGGATCTCTGGATCCCCCCATGCACTTCATGAATTACCAGGAAACAGTTTGTTGTATTATAGTCCTCACCACACTTGTAGAAGAATCTCAGATCCGACGTTTGGAGCACCTCCTCTCCCTCCCTCCTTTCCCTGCAAGCGTAGTGTCACCATGTTGTTCTCCTCATGTGTCCTCACCTTCTCCTTTTCTCTGACTCAGGAAAAAGTTGTTGCCTGTAGATTCATTTGTTCTCATGTTCTGCCAATTGAAAAGTTCTCAGAGGGTTTTGCAGCACTGAAAGGTTGATCTTGTCTGGGCTCTGTACCGGGGAATTGCTCATGATGCCCCTTGCTGTCGGCCACGTGTGCCCCGCTGGCAGCGCATGGGCTGTGCCGGCTGCTGCGGTGCTGGCACCATTCCGCACCTCTCTTCATGTGGGGCGCCAAAAAGGAGAAGCTGCTGCCGCCTCTGCCCTTCTGCCTGCAGCACGGCTGGCTAAAAGCAGCTAAGCAGGCAACGTTCACTGTGAGCTGTGCTGAGATGGTGTGCTGCTCATCATCCCAGCAGCCACTCACGGCACTGGGATGGCCCCAGTGCCTCCTCACCCCTGGGAAGAAGAGGAAGGAATGAGCACACGTTTTTCCTTCTTAAATGTGTCATTGCAGAGGCGTTACCAACTTCTCTAATTGGGTCAACAGCATGTCTGTCATTAGAGCCTTCAGGGATTGGCTCTTCTGGGCATAGTAGAAACTTCATGGAGCTTGTCTCAGAAGCCGCTTCTGTGGCTTCCCCCATCCCTGCTAAAAGCCATTGTGTTAAACCAGTGCACAAAGATGCCTCTTCCTAAAACATCAGTCCTTTTTCTTCCATCATCAAGAACAGACCGAGACCTCCCTTCTCCTTATCATATGTCCAGAAAAAAAAAAGCCACCTGAGGACTGCTGGTAGCAAAGTATTAGGAAGGACTTTATGCCTTCAGAAGGCATTATTGGTGGATTCTGTTTTATAGGGAATTGGGTTCAGTCTTAGGGAAGAAAGACTGAAATTCTGCAGCCTTGACACCGTTGTCTATTTACTGAAGTTTTTAATGCAATGGCTTAAGTTTTTCTTTCCCATAAAAAAAGAAAATCTAATGGTTTGAAATCCTAATCAGAGAGAATTCTTTGCTTTCTTAGGACTATTTCTCAGTTCAACTGCCTGGAAACTCATAAATTTTTTGAGCCTGCAGCTCAGCAGGACTTCTCTGAATGAAACAAATTTGAACATTCAGTTACAAGATTTTAACTTCTCTTTATAGATCTTTTCTGGATTTAAACTGTCTCTCTCTTTAACTTCTCTTTCTAGTTTGTGTTTATACTAACTACAGTCTGATACAATATGAAGGACAAAATGCTTGCTATTACTAACTCTCAGGGATGCTGTTTTCCTGTCCTCAAATAAATTCTGAGCAGACAGTGCTGACATATCACTTTAAACACACTGTTTCCTAGGAGTGAGATGGTATAAGATGCTTTTACTTTTTAGGTTTAATAGAGTGTCCATGTATTTTTTTAATATGCTCTACATAGTCACGCATGCACGGTTCTGCATATATATTGAAAATCTGTTAAGTGTTGGTGCTGGGCTGTGTTGAAAAACCTTTTGTTATTTGAATTTGCAAATAGTATATAATGTAGTATTGTTAGAATGGCATTTAAATATTTTATTCTCTATATTTTCATTGTTAGAACTGAAGAATTAAAAAAATCTTAACTGGCAAATACAATTAAAA